ATTCCACCTTGCAAAATAGCTAAGAGCAGAGAGCCAACCCCAGTCATGGCTTTACTTCAACTACTTAACATGCGCAGATTAGTTCTTTCCAGTCTGCTGTTTCTGGCCATTCTTCCTGCAGCACTGACAGAAAGGCCAACGGAAGTTAAATGACTCTCTCCAGACCTATTTCACACACACATAAATGCACTTAATAGACACACACACACACAAATACAACAGAAATAAAACTCCACAGATAAGAGTTCAATAAAACTTGATCTGTGTTTCAAATTCTCACCATGATTTGGGATGGTTTCACTGTCTGAGAAGTCAAAAAGAGCTTGTCAGACAAAAACATAGCCTTGAAGTCATGAAAAGCAGACCCTGTCACCTCATGGCCTCCTCTGCAAGTTGGACACTGCAGAAAAGTGGTAGGTGAACACCTGACTGTCAGAAGGATCTCGAGTACCAAGAGCTATTTACAAAGAAAATGACTTTGGGCTGGCTTGCTGTGGAAAATCGTAACATGTCTTGAAATCTGAGCTCAAAGAGTTCCTGTGCAGATTATTAACCTGGCAAAAAGCAAAACTGAAAGATTTCCTCTTTCTTTTCAGGATGAAATATTCCCTCTGGGTGAAAAGCATACAGAAGAAGAGAGACACAAAGCCAAGACTAGCGACACAAAAACAGAGGGACTGTCTGGTTTATTTGCTGCTCTGATAAGAACAGTGCCTAACATTCAGTAGGGTCCCAAAACACATTCACTGAATAAATGAAAGAAAAAAACCCTGACTCTTCAGAAGCCTTCATCATGGGGACAAAAAGCAAGTGAGCAGTCTGAATAAACAGAAACTTCAAAACAAAGATTAAATAAACACAGTCTTAATATTTCTTATATAAGAAATAGACTCAAGAAAAGCCTGCAAGGTCTCCCTGGTAGTGCAGGGGTTAAGTCTTAGCACTATCAAGCTACGCCTGCCACTGCTGCCAGAATGTGATCCCCAGCCAGGGAGCTGACCCATATGGTGCAGCAGACCTCTCCTGTCTTGCCTGCTGCTCCCCTCAGCAATGAGTTTCAGTGGATCTGCCTGTTCTGCTCCCCACTCTCTCATGAATCCTCTCACCCCCTTGTACCTTTGACCTACACCCCAGTTCTATATGCATAAATAAATAACTTTTAAAAAGGAAAGAAAAAAAAAGTCTTCCAACCCACAACTGAGTTCCTCTGATTTTTCACTGGTGAGCAGTTTTTAATCAGGTTACCCTCCAGCAACTCAATTTTCTTAACATCTCTTCTGGCATCCTGGGCATGAGGCAGGGGTGAAGTCTTGCTGATAAAGGCACCCTTGGTCGGGTCTCTTGCATGGGTGGCAGCATGCCCAGAGCCATTTGTATACACCATCGGGGCATAAGAAACCCAAGAAGTCATTTCACAAATAGCTTTTCCTGATGATTTGTTTCTAAATGTGAGGCCTGAGGTAAATTAGTCTATCCCCTTGTATGTCAGTTTCTTCACGCTAAAAGTGGACATAAAAAAATGGTAACTATCTTATATGAATGCTGTGAAGACCGAAAATACAGGGCCCGGAACATAGCACAGTGTCTGTTACCTCAGGGGGCTACGTTTTTATTCTTTGCAAATAAAAGAGTAGGGTAATCCCCAAGGTTGAAGCATTTCTTCCTTCAGTAGGTGCTTAGCTCCATGCCAATGAATGATCTGCTATTTTCAAAACTGCCTGATAGTGCCTGCTAGAGCCACTTTAACCTTTCCTTGAAAAGGTCCACAGACATGTAAAGTGCCAATTGTACAGTCTATATAGAGAGAAAAAACTCATGGAATATGAGAGCTTTCCCAGGCTGCCTCAGTATAACAGGGTATTATATTTAAAACTTATAAATGCCTGAAGTAAACAAAATATTTGGAGCTAGCAAGCTGGAACCTGGCTTAGCAGAAGGCAGAGACAGCAGGCAGTAGGTGCAGTGCGATAGAAAGAATTCCAGACTAGAGTTAAGAAACTAAGGTTCAAGTGTTAGTTTGCTATCATCAGCTGGGGAAGCAAGTTACTTCACCACTCCTGGCCTCAATTTCTTCTTTACAAAGTGGGCAAACAATTCTAGGTTAACACTAGCTTCTTTTTAGCTCCAAGACTCAGGACCTCAGGAAAGGAGTAAGCCAAGAGGGTGGTTGGTACAGTTGAAATACAAGAGAGAGGAGCTGGAGGAAAAGACCAAGCACGTGAAAGTGAAGGGAAATTATGGGTTACTAAGAGAAAGGATTAAGTCAAACCATAAGTCAAACCTGACCTATCAGGTGTAGACTAAGAAGTGAGCTGAACACTTATGAAAAGGCTAGTTCAGGAAAACTCTAAGGGACCAATAGCTTGGAGGATCATTTCTTTGCACTCACAGCACCAGCTAGAAAAAGCGTTTTTTCTTCAGAGACTAGAAAACTGAGAAAGCATCTGGTGACCTGACAAAAAAAATATGTAGAACTCCAAAATCAAACTTAAAGATAGACTGACTCTTCAGGTACACTGTGTGGCTACAAACCACTCACATCAGAGGTTAACAGCTCAGACTGAAGATGGCCAAGCTGCTTGGGTTCCAATCACGATTTTGAAACTTACTAGTCTTGGGACCTGGAGCAAGTGACCTATTCTTGTTGTGCCTCAGTGTCTTCACCTGTGAAGAAGGCATAAAACCAGAACTTCATAGAGATATTATAAGACTAAATGAATCAATACATGGAAAGCTCTTTGAACAGGATCCGGTATTTGGTAAATACTAAATAAATATCTGGTTATTTATTTTTAAAACTAAAAAAATATATATTCATTTATGTACACAAGAACTGGGGTACAGGCCAGAGGTGGGGGGGGGTTCCTTTGGGGAGCTGAATCTGTCATACCACTCTGGGCAACATTTCCTTTGAAGTTACGGCTAAGGAATCCCATTCAAAGGTTGTTGGTTTTTGGCACCAAGATATTAGGAATGGGGCCCTCCCTGGTGGCACAGCTGGTTAGGACACAGCACTGCAAGCTGGCCACAGCCGCATCAGTGCAAGTTCAATCCCCACCCCAGAGGTGATCCACATGGCACAGCAGACCTCTCCTGTCTTGCCTGCTGCTCCCCTCAGCAGTGTGCTTTGTTGATCTGCCTGTTCTGCTCCCTTCTCTGTCTCTGTTGAATCCTTTTACTGCCCCAGCACCTCTGGTTCTGTATAAATAAATCTTTAAAAAATACATATATATATTAGGAATGATATATATTTTCTAGTTTTTCTAGCCCTAGTGGTTCCCACTTCTTGCCAATTACCCTAATGTTTTTTTTAACCCTGATATCATTAAGCACTCTTAAATTTCCTTCCAATGGATGTAAAATGCTCGTTTTATATGGCCACAGCTTCTCAGAATCGTGACATGTTGGAAAGCATGGTGCATGAATAGCCACACTTACAACTAAAAGCAGCACTTTAACAGAAGCAACAACATTAAAGAGCTAAACCCACACCCTTCCAAAGCTCTCCATCTGCAAGGCAAATTATTAATTTGGAGTGGGCCAAACAATCTGGCTTGTTGACAATATACATTTCCTGAAAATTTAAAACTCCCATTTAGAGTGCGAGCAATTACTACCCATTGATTATCATTTCTTAATTCTCAGTAGTCTCTGGAGAGTTTTCTTTACAGGATGGAAAGAAACCATCAACGGGGTGGTAAGAACTGCTGACTTCATCTCACATGCCAGGAACCGAAAACGCCCCTAGGGAGGCAGTGAGGGGTGCCATGGAGTGAGACTGTATGTCTGGGGGCGCCGTACAGGCTGGCCCCGCAAGCTCCTCTGGCTCTTTCCCCACATGCTCTGGACCTTCCTGATAGGAGCTGGAAACTTCCTTTTTTTTTTTTGAGTTTAGCTGATGACATTTCAAAAACAATCTTCCTAATAAATAAAAGGAAGTGATATCTGGAATTCAAAAAACACTAAATACATAAGCTGATTAACAACTACAAAAAGAAAACAAACCTCATGGGACTGAGTTTTTGTTTTACAATGTTCCCTTCCTTTGATTTTGATATAATTTTGGAAACCTTTCCACAATTTCCTCAAGTAGACAAAAATAGCTTTCAAAGGAGACCCAATCCAAGTGATGATTTTTATGACTGATTAGGTCTTGGCTTAAAGAATGACATTGTAATTCTAAAGTTTAGCTTCAACTGCTCATTTTTTCTAAAAATACTCAAGAGAAAATATTTCCTAAACAGTTATGTTGGGTCCTAAAGTTTTCAGAACACGTGTCCACAAAAATTGTGCAATCCAATTCATATTCCTTCATATGGGCAAATAAAATAAGTCAAAATGATAACATTTTCTATCTTTCCCAAAAAATAAATCTCTTACACTGTTCTCATAAGGAACTCTCAAATGGTCTGTGAGAAGAGGAATTCCTGTGGTGCCACTGATGCAGTCACTAAATTTTAATGTTACTTAAATTCAACTACTTGGCAACATTGCACACAGGAGCACTAAATAAGGAAACAGACTGAAAGAATGGGATATTGAAAGAATGGGACAGATGGTGAGAAACCCTAGCCCAAAAGGCCAAGTAAGGGCTATTAGGGGATCTGGTTAAAAGGAAGCAGGACTCAGATGCTTTCGATAAATCAATAGCTGTTTATTTAAGAATCTATTATAAATAGGGATCACAGGAAAGAAAATAGAACCAGATATCCTCAAATCCTTCCTATGAGAGAAAACAGTTATCCCTACAAGGAATGCTTTAGAGTCAGGGAGAGTTTGCAATTGACTCTATCAGATGTGTTTCTAAATCTCTGACTCTCAGTTTCACAAAATGCAGAATGGGGATAATAGAGTTTTAGTGAAGAGTGAATTAAATGAGATAATACATGGAGGGTGTTTCCTCATATCACTAATGTCAGATGTCAATATATGTGTAAAAAATAAAAAATAAAAAACCCAAAACCTTGTATCTCAAAAATAAAATAAATGCAGCAATCTACCTGGAAAAGGTCTGTCTTCATCACCCCGGTGCAGAGCAATGCCCTTATTTTCTGGCATATACTTCTTGGTAATGGGCAAGGACATCAGCCGGATGTGATGGACGAGTGAACGCCAGGTGTGAGCGCCAGAAAGCACTGGTTCTGGTGGTAATGGGCTGAAAGGCTGAATTACTAAGTAGGCAGTGAGCAAGATTAATCCCAGGGTTACCAGGACCTATAAGGAGAGACAGGAAAAGGATTAGCAATTGTCCCAGCCAACAAAATACCTTCATGCCAAGAACAAAAAGGACTCCTTAAGACTCAATCCAGGGCCCTCTCTGGTGGTGCAGAGGTTTGTCTCGGCACTATCAAGCCATCACCAGCCCCTGCAGGGGCAGGAGTTCAATCCCTCCCAGGGAGCTGACCCGCATGACACAGCAGACCTCTCCTGTCCTGTCTGTCGCTCCCCTCAGCAGTGTATTTCAGTACAACCAACTGTTCTGCTCCCCACTCTGGCTCTGGTGAATCCTCTCAACCCCTGAATCTCTGGCCTATACCCCAGTTCATGTATGCATAAATAAAAATAAATCTTAAAAAAAAAAAAGAACCAATCCATTTTCATAAACAAGCCATTCTCATGCATTTCTGAGAGCATTTAAAATTTCAGAACTATGAGGACAGCAAGGCTCCCCAAGCTTCCTGCATAAGACAGGGCTGTGACCACCACTAAAATTACAGAGTTTAATTATAAACACACAGCTTTTGTCTAGGACAATTAACAAACCAGTCAAATTTCCTAGGAACACATGGTAAGAGCTATGGCTAATTTAGTCACAGAAAATTGAAGGTTTGATGATGAAATCAGCCAACAGTAATATTTGGGGGAGAATGCTTAAGAGTCTGCGCTTAGCTAACCCCAAGTCAAAACACATTTTTACCTTGTATATAGCTATAAGAAGGGGATACTGAGGCGGTCCCCTCTGAGGTTCATTCTTTTCCAGAAGCTGTCTGATAAATTTTTCAATTGCCTTCTCTGACATGCCACACTGATGGCCTGTCTGTCTCACCAAATCAACAGTCTCTGAAAGTTTGTCATAAATGCTGAGCTCATTGGCTGCAAGATCCATGTCTTCCAATACAAAATCCCTGAGAATGAAAAAAAAAAAAAACATGTAAAAAGAAAGAAGGTTCTTTAAAGTACTTCCTCTCAAAGCTGCCAATTAGAATAGGGCTTCTCGACTATCTGTGGGGGAAGTCAGTTTTGTGTTTCTCAATCCACTGCAGGCCAATACTCTGGTAAAACAACGAGTATGCTGAGACAATGTCAACTGTTATACAAGGTTGTTTTTTTTTTTTAAGTGTTACTTAACTGTGGGCTAGAAAACAGTTTACAGACAGCCCTGGTTCTGAAACACTTTGAGAAGCACTGGCGTAGGACATAGTAAGTTGCTGGGACTCAGACACACCCTCTAAAAGCACCCGTGGAAATGCCTTTTGAAGCCCATCACAGGCCACCCACTACTGGTAATTACTAAAATGAAAAAAATGAAAAACATAAGAGTGTTGTTGATTCTTTCCATATATAACAGCAAATTGCTGTAGAAAAGGTTTACTGTGAGGGACATGGTGACAGCTCTGTCCCTGGCGGAGAAAGGATTTCTGGGGGCACGCAAACCATGACACAGGAGATCCCCACATGCTGCAGATGGCAGGCCTTGGGTTTTTCAGAAAATACAATTTTAGACAGCAAGGGGCACTTTATTTGTATTTTATACAGTGAAAAGATCTAAGATCTATAGGGAACTATCCCTAAGATCTATAGGGAACTCAATTTGTGTTGTCACAGTTATTTAAAAGCCAGTGTTTCACAGTGGCCAGCAAATAAAAGGTCAAAACCAATGCAGCAGAAGTCTCTATGTTTATAAAATAAAACCAAATTGTTCTTTTCAAAAACTGCCTGTGTTATGAAACAGTAATACTTTTCTTTGTTTACATGAGGAAAAACAGTGCTTGGGATTTATGCTGTTGTTTTTTTTTTTAAGGGTCCTTTTTTTTTTCTTTTTATGAGTCCCCTATTTCACAAACTTCATTCCTAACATGCTTCAGATCTTAAAAAGTAGTGACATGGCACAATACTGGTTTTCCCAGAGGGAGATGCTGCCACCTGTAGAGCTGAAGACAACAGTCACCTATCTGCAGTGGAGAAAAGCGGACCTAAAATGCCACAAAGCAGCAGACACTTCTGCACGTGTCTCCTGCAGCAGCACCTCCTGATAACTCCCGCCCGTTTATGCTTAGTAACCCCTGAGTTTACTACTTCTTAGCCCTGCCTGTATGTTACAATCACCTAAATTGTTTTTCATGGGTGCAACAGGTTACTATGCAGCACTGCAAGCTAGCTGCAGTCACTTCAGTGCAAGTTCAAGCCCTGGCCCCAGAGGCGACCCACATGGCGCCGCAGACCTCTCCTGTCTCGCCCTCTGCTCCCCTCAGCAGTGTACTTCGTTGATCTGCCTATTCTTCTCTGTCTCTGGTGAACCCTCTCATCGTCCCTGCACCTCAGGCTTGTACCCCAGTTCTGTATGCCCAAATAAATAAATCTTTAATGAAATTTGATGTTCATAAAAAATAAATTGCTTTTCATTCTCTATTAGGACCCCAAACCAAGCCAATTAAATCAGAATCTCCAAAGAGAATTAACAGGTAAGTAATCTAGACTTAAAATTGAGGGACTTCAAATTCAGGGAAAATAGAACCCCCCCCCCGTCCCGAACCTTGCCCCCAACTCTATTCTTGCTCAAAATCTTGTGGTTTTGAAGACCATATAGGCTTTCATTTCAAGTGTCAGATTAAAAGGTGGTGTAAATTCTATTAAAAAAGTGCATTTTCAATAAATGGTATTGGGACAACTGGATATTCACATGTAAAAAAATGAAGACAGACCCTTCCTTATACAAACATAAAAATTAATTCAAAATGGATCAAAGACCTAAACTTAAAAATGAAAACTATAATATGCTTAGAAGAAAATGAGGGAAAACCCACGACACCAGATTAGACAATGGCATCTTAGCTATGACGCCAAAAACAAGAGTAGAAAAAGAAAAAAGAAACCAAACTACCTCAAAAATTAACAACGTTGTGCTTCAAATGATAAACCACAGAATGGGGAGAAATATTTATGAATCATATATCAAATAAGGAAATGATATTCCAAGTAGGATTCTTACAACTCAGTAATAAAAAGGCAACCTAGGGCCCTCCCGGGTGGTGCAATGGGTAATGATGCAGCACTGCAAGCTGACCTCAGCTGCCCCAGCCATGGTGGTGACCCACATTGCGCCGCAGACCTCTCCTGACCCACCCACTGCTCCCCTCAGCAGTGTACCTAGTTGATCTGCCTGTTCTGCTCCCTACTCTGTCTCTGGTGAAGCCTGTCACTGCCCCTACATCTCTGGCCTATATCCCAGTTCTGTATGAATAAATAAATTTTAAAATATAATTATTATAAAAAAAGGCAACCTAATTAGGAAATGGGCAAGGGCTATGAATAGACATTTCTCCAAAGAAGATACGCAAATAGGCAATACACTCACGAAGATATGTTTCACATCATCAGTCATCAGATAAAAGCAAATCAAACACATAACTACACTGAGGTACTGCATCACCCCACTGAATGGCTATAATCAAAAAGTAAGAGAAAAGCAAGAGAAAGCAAAGACGTTGAGCTATTGGAATCCTTGTCGTGTTGGTGGGAATGGGTAATGGCACAGCTGCTTCAGAGAAGCTTGACAATTCCTCCAGAACTTAAGTAGTTACCAAGTGACCCAGAAATCCCACTCATAAGTATGTACTCCAGAGAATCAAAAACATGTTCACACAAAAACTTGTACAAGAATGTACAAGCAGCATTATACATAAAAGCCCTCCCCACCCCCCAATGGAAGCAATCAATGCTGAATGGAGGAACAAAATGTGGTCCCTCCATACTATGGAACATTATTGAACAACAAGAAGGAAGTAGTGTTATCTGCCAAAAAGTAAATGAATCTTGACAACATGCTATAAGACAGTCTCAAAGATCACATTATTATATGAAGACATTGATATGTAAAGTACAAAGCAAATTTATAGATACAGAGTAGGTTAGTGGTTGTCAAGGGAAATGGGTGGGAAGAATAGACTTTATTAGATACATAATTTCTTTCTGAAATGATACAAAGTATTCTAAACTTAAATTAGGGTGATGGTTGTACAACTTTGTGTACTAAAAACCACTGGGTTGTACATTTAAATGGTGAACTGATGGCAGAAAATAAGGACGATTTTTCTGAATAAGGATGTTTTCTAAATGTGTATTTATTAAATTTGAGTTTACCCCCATTTATTATACTATGCTGTTAGGATTTTGGCTAGTTCACTTGGTCGGTGACCTCACCTCCAAAATAAAGTAAACCAGAGATTTGTAAAGTCCTCTATCTCTAAAATTCTAAGAGTATATGAGCACTTCAAGAAGTAGAAAAAAATCAATTCATTAGACACTAAAGACGTATCCAATTGTGTCCCTATTTACTACTCCCTGTTATGTCATCTTATGTGCCCGGCATTGTGCTATGAAAAATCATCTTAGTGAATTATCACAGCGATCCCAGAAGGAAGGTATGATAAGTCCCATTTCACAGATGTTTAAAACATCTAAGCTCAGAACTGCTTTCACAACTAGGAAGTTGGGCCTACAATGATTCCTGGAAAAAGAATAAAGTAATAACTCATCACAGTATTTTTCACTTGCTCTTGTGACTGGTGGCTAGCCCAGAGATAGCATGTTCCTGTCTAATAAAAATCTTCTAAGCAAGTAAGCAGGGATAATGTGATACAGACAATATGATTAATTCCCAGTCAAAATCCATTAAAACTCAGTAAAGACAAGAAAAGAAGAGCAGCAGGAATTCTAGAAAAAATTCCAGGAAGAAATGTTAATGATTTTAGAGATGGGCACACACAGGTGTCCCTCTGGCAGAAGGGAAGGTCACATTGGTGTCCCCTTGGAAGAGCAAACCAGGAAGGCTAAACTGAGAACCAAGGAATATCTTCTTGATGGTTGTTTCAACACCTTTGAAAACTTCTGGCCACTTTTGATACCTGTAAAAAATCTTATTAAACTTCAAGTTTATGCTACACAAGCTCTTTTTTCTGTAATTATGATATACAATAACATTATGATACCAAATACATGTTTGCATTCTTCTTCCCTGAGATTCTAAAACATTTCCTAAATTACTGGAAGTGTGGTCACTAACAATTCAAAGATGTTTCCAGGAGGACATGGGGATTTTGATAGTACATCCTGCTTTCACCTTTGGTTAGATCAGTTGTTCTAAACTGGGAGCAATTTTGCTCCTCCAGGGACATCTGGAAAGTCTGGAGATATTTTTGATTGTCACACTTAGGAGTACTACTGGCATCTAGTGGAAATGATGTTAAACAACAAAAAATCTTGTCCCCCTAAAAAAAAAAAAATTAAAAACTCACAAATTCACAGCTAAATATCAAGTGAGAAGGTACTGAGGCTTGATGGCAATCCCTTTACCTTCAGGGAGAGGTGCAACTGGCAGAAATGAGCTTTGGCACAGAAGTTCTGAAGACTGAGCATGTATCTGCAAGGGCACAGGCAGGATGGTGAGCAGATTATACAAATCAAGGCCTCCTACACCACCCTGGACATACTGATTTGTCAGAAACCCTGGGAGTGAAAGCTGGGTGCTGTCTTCCCTGATGACTAAAGGCACACCCCCAAATGGGAGACAAAGCTTTAGAACAGCTCTCAATTTAGATGGGGGGGAGAGGTGACTCTACTCCCCCCAAAGACATTTGGCAATGCCTGGAGACATTTTTGAGTGTCAAAATTAGAGCGGTATCATGGATATGTAGCAGGTAAAGACAACATCCTACAATACACATGATAAACTACCACAACAAATTGTTCCATTCCAAATGTTCACAGCGGTTAGGAAATCCTGCTTTCTAAAGAAGCTAGAGGGAGGCAAGCCATGGGACATTTATTTCTGAAATACTTCAGGGAAAGGAATAGTAACTGAGCTCTGATGAGATGTTTCCTTAAACTGGGTCTCAGTTTAAGAAGAAAAACAGTAGAAGACATAGCTGAAAGGAGGATCTTATAGATCCTTTTTTCAACAAGATCTGTAAGATGTTGTGTTTTAAGCAGAAAACATGTTAACTGGCCAGACTAAATGTAAATCTCTCCTCTGGCCTGTTTAATATAGAATTAATTCTCCTCTTGATATAAATATGGGCTAAACATTGAGGTGACATTACCATGTAAGTTCGGTTTTCCAAGCTAAACAGCTATGCTCTAAGATGCAATACTGTTTCATTTAGTTAAAACACAAAAGGAGAGAGCCCTCCCTGGTGGTGCAGCAGGTTAGAGCCCAGCATGATGAAGCTATCCAAAGCCACTACAACGTGAGTTTGATTCCCAGCTAGGGAGATGACCCACATGGCACAGCAGACCTCTCCTGTTTCACCCGCTGCTCCCCTCAGCAGTGTATTTCTGTCAGTTAGCCTGTTCTGCTCCCCACTCTCTCTCTGGTGAATCTTCTCACCCCCACGCCTCTGGCTTGTACCCCAGTTCTTGTACACATAAATAAAACTTTAAAAAAAAAAACACAAAAGGAGAATCCTACAGTTCAGAATAAAGTTTCAAAATCCATCTAAATATGTCCCAATCTCAACGCCGGAAGCATCATCCAGAGTAATAATAAATGTTCTACTTTCCTACTATGTTCTTTAAGTATTATGCTAGTTATGAGGTACAACAACCCATTCTCTAGGATTATGATTATATTCCACTTCCTTTTATCCACTACATTTTAGTATAAAGGGAAAAAATGCATCTCTCAGATTGTAATAAAGGTCACAAAGAAAAAAAATATTTAAAAGTAACTCATTAAACAGTACGATTTTTAAATTTACAATTTATAAGGGCTTAAAATTCACAACCAAGTGAATTCTACTTTCTTGTACCTTTACTATCACTTGACCCTCCCAGTCAAGTGAGACTTGAAGAGCCTTGGACTTTCTTTGCTCTCTGAAAATATGTCTCTGCCTTTTTTCTGCCAACATTTGAGAAATTCCAAGCCTCCAGAAAAATTGGAAATAGTAAATGAACATCTGTATATCCTTTACTTAGATTCACTAATTGCTAACATTTGACCATGTTTTTCTCTCCTGCTATTTTTGCCAGAACCAGTGGTTTGAGCATGCATCTCCTGAGAACAATGGCATTGTTCTACACAGCCACAGGCGTCCTATCTATTACAATGATTAAATAATTCTGGTATTATCTAATGTCCAATCCACAGTCAAATTTCCCTTCCCCAAAAAAGATCATGTATCTTTTAGAAATACAAGATGCAACCAATGATCAGTTAGCTGCTGAGGCCTTTGTGTATGTAAGCTTAGAACTTTTTTTTTTTTTTTTTTAGCTTAGAACTTTTAATACTGATCTTTGTTTTTACGACACGGACACATTTGAAGCAAGACCCTCATGTTTTTGCTTTTTTTTTTAAAGATTCATTTTTATTTATTTATGCATACAGAACTGGGGTACAGGCCAGAGATGAGGGAGGTGAGAGGATTCCCCAGAGACAGAGTGGGGAGCAGAACAGGCAGATGTACTGAAACACAATGCTGAGGGGAGCAGCAGGCAAGACCGGAGAGGTCTGCTGGGCCATGTGGGTCAGCTCCCTGGACGTGGATCAAACTCGTTCTGCAGTGGCTGCGATTGGCTTCATAGTGCTGTGCTTAAACCGGTTGTGCCACCAGGGAGGCCCTGCCCCCGCTCATGTTTTTAATTTCTCTCTACCAGCTCCAATCCTCCCCCTCTTCAGTTTCCACTGTTGGTGCAGCCGGTTAAAGCACAGTACTAAGAAGTTCAAACCACTTCAGCATGAGTTCCATGCCCGCCCCAGAGGGGACCACATGGTACAGCAGACCTCTCCTGACCTGCCCGCTGCTCCCCTCAGCAGTGTGTCTCGTCGATCTGCCTGTTCTGCTTCCCACTCTGTCTCTGGTGAGTCCTCACTGTCCCTTCACCTCTGGCCTGTAACCCAGTTCTGTATTAATAAATAAATCTTTAAAATAACAATCCTCCCCACGCCCTCCCTGACGGCACAATGGGTTAATAATGCACAGTACTATGAAGCAATCCGCAGCCACTGCAGCATGAATTCGATTCCCAGCTAGGGAGGTGACCCACAGGGCCTAGCAGGCCTCTCCTATCCTGCCTGCTGCCCCTCTCAGCAGTGGATTTCAATCTGACTGTTCTGCTCCCTACTTTGATGAATCCTCTCACACACACACATCCCCCACACCTTTGGCCTGTACTCTAGTTCTTGTATGCATAAATAAATCTCTAAAAAATAAGTAAATAAAAATAATCCTCCCCCTCTGGATGTCCAGTGTTCACATCTCCCTCCCTCCAGAGTCAAGCTCCCTTAAAAAAAAAAAATTAAAGTTATCATCTCATCTTGTTTCTTGGAACTCCTCTCATTCACTTACCAGTTGAAGTCATATTTCTGCCCCCCTCACACCGATCAATATTGCTCTAAGGTCACCAATGTCTTTCTACAAGCCAGCTTCAAAGGGCATTTTTTGGTTACCTCCTCACCTGACCTCTCTGCAGCAGCTAGTGTGGCTACTCATTATTTCCCTCATGTGCTTCCAAACCCTGACATATCTTCCTGTTCTCTTCTTAGAGATCATGTTGTTAAATGTTGGCATTCATCATGGTTGTCCCTGACATTCTCATTCCATTCATGGCTTAGCCACCAGCTATTAGTGATCCCAAATCTCTGCTCTGCTCTAGACCTTTCTCTAGAGCTCATACCTGTCTCTCTCCCTACAACACACCCTGATCCGAATTTCCTGGAGTCGCTTGTGATGTGTCCATTACCACTTACTGTTTCCCCTACAACTCATTTCTCCGACTACATTCCTTTTCTCAATTAGTGGAAGTCCTTCAAATTTAAAACCGTTCCTCCTCATTCTTCATACTAAATCTTGATTTCTACCTCCTACATTAAGGTCTCCTCTTTAGCTCTGAGTCAGAGCTCAATCTCTCTCCCACAGACTATCACGAAGATATAGTTGATTTCTATAAGTCCAATCCTCCTCCTTCTCTACCCACTCCATAAGTTATTTTTCTGAAATACAAACTGGTTCACGTTATTCATGTTAAAGCACCTTCCTTGACTCCCCACCCCCTGCTGGGAAAGTTTAGCACTGTGATGAAGAACACAGGCACAGGAGCTGGAAAAAGCTAGACGCAAGTACTAGCTTCATCTGTTGTGGGTTATGAGACTCAAATTATAAAGTTTTAAATTATAAAATGGAGTTAGTTCTGCTTGCCAAACAATATTAAGGGATTATAGGATAATATATATAAAGCACTTGTCTCAATATCTACAGTTAAAGGCATGTAGCTTATTGGAATGAAAGCCCAACTTACTTAGCATAATCCTGGACAAAGTGACCGTCTACCTTTTAGTCTCATTTCCATTTCTTCCTCCAATTCTTCAATGTCATACTCTTACACATCTTTCTGGCTTTGTACATGTAATTTCCTCTGCCTAAAAAGTCTAGCTCCCAGTGCTCTGTCCCAATATGCTTGATTTGTGCCCTTGATGCGTTAAGCATAACTTGCTTTGTATTATAGCTATTTCCCTGTCTCCCACACAAAACTGTTTCTTGAAGCAAAATAAGTGGAGAAAGTAGCAACAGACGGGGACATTCAGTTGTGACATGGAACCTGATCAGTCTCCTAAATTTATAAAGGATCTTATGTGAGTGGTGTGTTCCCAAACTAACTCAATGTAACTAAAGACACGTTCATTTTACTTTTTACTCTTTTCAAATGTACATCAGCCTAATCAGAAGCTATGTGAGGTTAAGAATCTCACACTTGGGACATTCTGTGATGTTGCAGAATAGCTGTGAAGGAAAAGGGATTCAAGCTGGGTCTTGTAAATTGTTTTGAACCAAAGAAGGAAAAGCCTAGCTGGGCAAACTGGGCCTCTTTCAGTCAAAACCTCAAAATTGTTCCTTAAAAGGAGATGGTGGTCACTCAAACTCAAAGAGGCAAATTTATTAAGGGAGCAATGTCCATAGACGATTCCACCGTGGGAACCGACAAATAACCAAGGAGGGAAAAGTCAGGGTACTAAGTATCTGCGGTAGTCTCTACTACAAGGTGATAACTAAATGTTCACGAATGCCAAGGTGAAGTTGGGGAGACCAGCAAAAGTGTAGCCTGCAGAGTTAATGGCCTTAAAATACCATGAAACAAGAGGTAGGTGAATTTCCTGGTACTAAAAGGCGGTTACAAATAGCTCATTTACTCGTATCAAGAAATCCAAATCTTTCTGAAATCCAAGAATACCATGGTTATCACATATCAAGTCCACACTAAAAAAAAAAAAAAAAACAAACAAACACACAAAACAAAAAACCAACCCAATAAATTTCCTCAAAAGCTGTTTCGGGGGCCGCGAAAAATACAGCAATATTTTTAGAAAGATAAACAGTCAAAAGGTCAGTGCAATCTAGACTTCCCCGGCACCGCGTGCTCTGAATAGGCTGTGACGCCAGCGAAAAAAGTTCAAGTAGGGTCGACCTCGCTAAGCTCTCCCCGCCGGAACCAAGTTAACAGGGAGCAGTCGCAAGGGAGTCCACCGCAGGGAGTTGGAGGGGGGTGCTTTCAGTCTGCGAAACGCCAGAGGCTCGGAAAGGGGTCCGCGCAGAGGCAGGAAGCGGCGAGGGAGGTGCTGCGCGAAGACGTCACAGACGGACGCGGCGGCGAGGCGGTCACGAAGCGGCCTTCCCCCCCCACCCGGCCTCGGGCCCCAGTCACTCACATGCGGGGCCCGCGCCCCCTCGGGCTCCTCCCGCCTCGGAGACCGCAGCCGCCGGGCGAGGAGGGTAAGCCAACAACTTCCTACTTCCGGTAGCTCAACCCAGAAGCCACGCCCACGCCACGAGAGCGGCCCTGCGCCCAAGGGGCTTAGCTCCCTCTTCCTGCCTTGCACTTCCGCCAAAACAAACTGCTTGACGTCGCAGCGCGCGCGCGCTCGTTCGCGGAAACTCTCGCGATATCTAGGAAGACAGGCTCTTGCTCCCTCTGGTGTCTGCCTTGCTTGGTCAGTCCTCAGCCCTTGACAGCGTCTCTCTTAGTCCTGGACTGACAGATTTTGTGGCTGAACTGATTCGTTCAACAAACATTCATTGAGTCCATTGCTACGTGACAGGCAGTGTAATGGGCACTTAAGGGTGGGAGTGGGAGGGATACGTAACCGGAGGACAGACCCTAACCTCTGGAGCTCTAAGTCTTAAAGAAAAACGATCAAATAAAGTACTCAGATCGACACAAGACCCAAGGATAGCGTTCTCTGCAAAGACATGTCAGCACTTTATATTGTGAAACCGCCTCTACAATATCATGCTATAAGAGCCCCACAACATTTAGCTTCATATCAACTGAGCTGAGGTTTACGAAGAGGTTACCTTGCTTCAGATTACACAGCCTGGTGGATTCACGATTTGAACCTAGGCTCCTTATCTCGCCCTGTCTTTGGTGCCAAAGCTCTTAACTGCCTTCTATAAGAGATCAGCAAACAAAATCGTTCTGGGGTCAGATTAATAAAACTACATCTACAAAGACACAACAGGGGACTGAGAAAAGGATGTTTTAAATAAATAGTGCTTGATCAGGTGTACATCCATATAGGAAAAACATGAAACCACTTCTACCTCTCACCACACACTAGAGTCTATATGCATTCTAGAGCATGGATCTAGCTCACAAATGTAATGAGAAAAATACAACGAGAGTTGCTCTTTCCAATTGCTGTCACCGATCAAGTGACTATTGAGCACTTGAAATGAGACTAGTCAGAACTGCAGTTCCGTAAGAGAGAAAAATGATAGTTTATACTACATTAAAATTAGAAACCTGATCATCAAAAGATAGGACAAAAAGATTAGCTGTAAAGTGACAGAAACCAACAAAAATGTATGTCCAGAACAAAGAACTCCACAAATATTAAAAAGAGTCAACTAGAAAAATGGGCAGAAGATGGGAACACAAAAAGATTATCACAAGAGGGTATATGAATGAGAGAGTCATGAAAACTTGTTTAATTCCAGTAATCATCAGTTATTAGAGGAATGACTAGGGAGATACCATTATACAGTATTAAGTGTTGGTGAGAAAGCAGAGCAATATCAACTTACTGCTGGTAGGAGAGCAATTTGCTACAGCCAAATAGGCTGTAGGGATTAACTACTAAATTATAAACATAACTCTTGATCCAAAAGTTCTACTTCTAGGTATATACCACCAAAACTTCATGTACAAATCCCCCAAGATACATAACAGAGTATTCATAGGAGCATTATTTGTAATTGTCACAAATTGGGAACAGGATGTATTCAGGAAACAGAATACTATATAGCACTGAAAATGGTACTACACACAGAGCATGGATCTAGCTCACAAACGTAATGTTAAACCTTTCTTATCTCCTTCCCAGGTGAAGGAGCCATCTTCACCACCACTCCCATAGTTGCTTCTTCCACATCTTGTCTGTCCTGTATCTTTTCCTGTGCCTCCCCAGGCAGCCTGGGAAAAGTGGTTGGGTAGGATCTGACAGGGAGCTCATTTCCTGTGACATTGTATACCCTTTTAAAGAAATTAGTGGGTATTAACTGTGAATAAGAGCAAAGGCTCAAAACCTGGTACTTTGTACGCATTATTTAATCTCCGTAAAGCTCAGTTTCCACCACGTGAAAAGGGAATAGTTAATATCTACTATTAACTATTGTGAAGTGTGAAGATAAGTATGAAAGCACACAATAAAGTGTTTAGCTTGATGCCTGGCAAATAAGCATTCATTTAGCTATCTTAAATGGTGTGCCTTCACAACATAAATTTGCCCTCTTTCTTTCTTGTCTTTCCTCTAAAACTCCTTGCAGCACCTTTGCTTTACCTTTCACTCTGAGAGAAACAAACTTGGGCACTATCTATCTCAGCTTACCACTCTAATCCCTTAGTCTTCATTCCCCTTTCTCTTTTTAAAAAGATTTATTTATTTATGCATACCAAAAATAGAGTACAGGGGTGGAGTGGGAGGTGGGGGCTCACCAGAGTGGGGGCTCACCAGAGACAAGAGTCGGGAGCAGAACAGGCAGAGCTATTAAATATACTGCTGAGGGGGAACAGCGGGTGAGACAGAGGTGGTCTGCCACACCGTGTGGATCACCTCCCTGGCCTTGGATGGAACTCGTGTGGGCTGCGGTATCTGCGGATTGCTTCATAGTGCTGTGCTTTAACCTCTTCCGCTACCAGGGAAGGCACCCTCTCTCTCCTTATCTCTCATTCTCTTCCCAGCTCACTGGACCTTCTCTTCTCAAATTCTTTGCTAGTGGAATCCGAAGGCTTACATTTGCTGTATGGCTCTGAACAAATAAATCATTTAACTGCTGAAGCTCAATGTTTACATCTGAAAAATAATATCTGTAGTTTTACTTTGTAGAGTAGAAAATAAAATGTAAACGCTACGTAAATGTAACTCATACAGCACTTTACAGAGGTAGTTTCAGATCTCTATTTTCTATTCCCTTTCAGTTTCTCCCCAGTCAGTCCGCTGCCCCATTCTGGGACTCAGAACTTCTAAACATTGAACGTTAGTACATAACTCCGATCCTATATAGATTTGCGGGCAATTCCCGCCTTCCTCGCCTAGGAAACCAATCGGATCTCCGGCGAGTAGCGAGGTAATCCTCCACCGGGCGATCATCCAATTGAGTCTTGCGCTACTGTTCCGCGCCCTTACGGCCAGCTCTTTTTCTTTGCCCCTCAGTCCTGATTACGGCCCTCGGAGTTTGAACCCTTACTCTTCCGCTTTCCCCCAACCCCGGCATCCAAAGCTTTAAACGGCGGGAACCGGAAGTGTGCGTCGCAGTGGCGGGTCCCAGGCTTTTGCGCCGGAAGTAGTCCTTGCTAGAACAGGATTCCTCCGGCATCACTATGGCCGCGATCCCCCCCGACTCCTGGCAGCCGCCCAACGTGTATTTGGAGACCAGGTGAGGGGGGTCTGGCCTCCTGGGCCGGACCGAGGAGCGACGCGGAGCCCGGGCTTCGCCGCGGGGCTCGGTTCCCGGCGTGCATCCCGGGAGCCCTGCGTCCTCGTGGAGAGGCATGGAGCCGGGCCGTCGGGGCAGTCTGCGGACCGCGTGGGGCCGCCACCGTTCGCGCCCGAGCTCCGCGCGGAGCCGCGCCGAGACCTCAGAGACTGAGCGTCCGCCTCTCCCTTTCCCCTGCTCCCCACGCGGATTTCTTTCTTCCATTCGCAATACAAGCGTGTGTTGAGCCCCGAGGCCAGAGATGTAGGATCTAGTGGGAGCGTTTGGAGATGGACACCGGACACACAACCTTGTCCTTGGAGTTTACAGTACACGTAAAAGTTGATGTGACAGGTAGTACAACTGTGTGAACAAATTATAGAGAGAACACAGGAAGAAGCACATTTTCATCTCTGAGTGGTGGGAAGACAGTGTAATTGACCACCCACCAGCTGGTGCCCCGATGGATAGCACACATTTAATTTATTGCTCTTCGCAACTCAAATTGTAGGTATCATTCCGCCTCTCCAGTTTTAGTAGGGGAAATCCCAGAACTTACCGATCAATGACCAGATTAAATTGCCCAAACCCGTATAGCTAATGAGTGGGAGAACTTTGGATGGAGCCTGATGTGTCTGCCTTACACGCTAGGTTCTGGAGGTCTTTCATTCCATTGCCTCTTTGGAAAATGATCTTTCTTAAGAGGACCTTAAGTAGCTTTTAACTGCTACAACAGTTTAAAATTAAAATTTTTTAGTCTGACTTTCAAGCGAATTTTTTTCTTCTGACCACTGCCTTCCCTTTGGCAACATCTGATAACCTCTGTCAATAACCAAGATTCAGCCATCATTGCTGTGTGTCTTCTTTCTGTTCTTGTCCATGCTTTCCACCAAAGCATAGGTCTCTCAGCTGCTTTTGCTCCCTGACCGTTTCTCCCCCTTTTAATGTGGCGAAATTCTACTTACTCAGGTCCCAAATTGAAAGTACTTTCTGAATTCACCCGTTAACTTTTTCAATAATCACAATATAAATTAAAATCCAAATCAAGCAGTAGAGTATAGAATAAAAAGTAAAAAACACCTCTCCCTGTGAAAATATTATCAGTAACTTGTTGAATGATCTTCCAGATCTTTTTCTATATACATATAGAACACTAATATGTTCTATTTTTTTTAACAAAATTAGGACCATATGATCATACTATTACTATTTTTCTTCTTTTGCTGAATCAAAAGGTGTATACATTTCAGAATTGTGTAGGTCCTTCCAAATTGTCCTTGCAAAAAAATGAGTCCTTTTATTTAAAAAATACTCACCAAATGTGGACTCCATAAGGGAAAAAGCACCTACACCCATGCTTTGCAGAGTAATTGTTAATCCACATTAGACCTTAGTAGTGTGAAGAAAGCTATGTTCTAGAACACTCCCTATGCATTTATACGCACATACAGCGCTTACTCTGTGCTTGCCACAGTGTTCATATTATCTGTAATTGATCAGTTCTCACATACTTGGAACAGTGTTGGAGTGGAGGGGAAGCTGCTTATACTAAGACTTTTATTTCTTCCTTTTCCTTAATAGTACTTGGAGAAAGGGAAACACTCACCATATGGAGTAGGTACAAATGTTTGAAGGTTTTTCTTTTGTTTTGCCTCTTGGTAAACACATACAAACTGTATCTTTTATACCCCATTAGAAATGTTTACAAATAGGTATTTACTATTTATTTATATATTTACT